ATTGCAAGAGCTGACAACAGCACTGAAAACTGGTTTCTGCAAGACATTAAGTTAAGATCTATGGCAACTATGGAATGAATTCGCTGTGTTGAATTTGTCATTTTGATCTCTATATTTTAATGTCCTTTCTTTGAATTCTGGACACAGGCGAAGTCCTAGCAGTACTAAAGTGGTGGCCAGCATACAAACCTGTAAAAGAAAACAACCCTCTAGTCATCCCCAGAACTTTGTAACTGAAATTAATTTTGTCAGGCTGTTTAACTAGAAGATAGGAGTCATGTTTTGTAAAGCAGACAGGATCTGTTGGTAATTCTAATAGTAATTCTAATGAAGACTATTAAATCTGTCTTGAATTTTTTGTTTCCTGACTCACAATTTATATGATGGCAGTCTGCCAGACAAAATTAAAAGAAATGGTGAACTAGCAGTTTTTGTCAAAAAAAATTCCGTTCTTCTGTACTATATCTTCAGAAGGCCTTTGCACAGCTATAGAGGTATGATTTCTACATTTTCCTAGATACTATAAATCTCTGCTTAGATAGGCATCCATATAACAAATATTAACATTCCAAGAAAAATCAAAATCAACTTACACATCTTTTTGGGCACGATACCTGCAGGAAGATGGCAACCCTCTCACTTTTCTTTTCTTGCATAGCTGTATTTGGAGCCATCTGCAGGCTCCTTGGCAATGTGTACAAATCAGATTTTGCTTCCCTTGACCGAGGAAGACTGGAGTGAAGCCAAGTTCAAGATGCTGCTGACACATAAGCCCTTTCTGAGTATCTATGGAGAAGAAGCCAACGTTGATGCCACTGCTGCCGTCAGGATGGAGGAGAAGGTAGAGGCAGCAGTAACTGCTGTGAAGGGTTCCCATCCTCTGTCTGCTGCCCACCAGTTTTCTCTCTTTGCCCAAAGAATGCCCTGGTGATCAAGTTCTCCAGGGCTGGGCAGTGAGGCCCTGGCCTTTTTACTTACATCAGCCTATTCACTGCCTTTGGCAAATTGCTTTCTTGACCTGTGCCTGGAGCTGACCTTAGACAAAGCAACCTGCAAACTCCCGGTTTCTTTACCAGCAGCACACACCTGCTTCAGCAGCAGTCATGCTTTCCAAGTTACTTCTTTCCACTGTGATCTCTTTCAGCCTTGGTAACTTCGATGTTTCCCGCATGGGTGAGGTACCTTCAGTAGCCTGCATTTCCATTTTTCCTACCTAGAAACTTGAAGTTCATTTTACAGAACTTAAGCCTTCTATTCTTGCCCTACTACCTCAAACCAGTCAGATGTACAATTTATGAAGCTGTTTGAAGGTAGAATAAGTGTTCGTTTAAACGACTTCTGCAGATGCTGTGCCCACGACCTGGATACCTGAGTTTTATAAGACCTGCTCTGTTGTGCTATATTGTATTACAAGGGTTCATCAAAATACTCTTGATTCTGTTTTGTCAAGGAATAACAGATATTGATGCTCTCAGTTTTAGACAAAACACAGCTGTGTTTTTAGGCACAGGCAAGTTGCTTCTGCAGCCAATATAAAAAAACATTCCATGGGGTAATTGTCTCAAATCAAGGAAAATGAAACAAGTAACCCTTTTCAACAACTATAAAGCAATTTCATGTTGCTAGGCCATGGTGATTAGCTTTTGGCATTTTCACAGAGAAAATTGCTGGGCATTGAATAAAGTATGGGTACATGTTTTTGTATACAATTTTTAAGACTAAATGTATTACTTTAAAGCATTAAATAGTAATACAAAGTATGAATGGGATTTTGGGAACTGTAGCTTCAAATTTACTTTTCTTCTTTTGATTGCCTGCACTTTAAAATCTTTTTTAGAACTGATTTTCAAGAACTGGGGTAGAGAACTAGGAGAAAAAAAATCATTGCAAACTCTGGGATGGAATGACAATAGCTCTCAAATGTATATGCGCAGATGTTTACTTCTTTCTAAATGTCAGCAAGAAGCAATAAACTTCAGTTTATTGGTGACACCTCTCCACAGTGGAAATCTGATGTAGAGACAACTATGACCTGAGGGCTACATTATTCTCAAGAATACAGATAGAAGGTGAGTTAATGCTTATAGATATTTGACTTTTACACACTAATAACTTTATGGAAGGTGACTCAAAGGTTGGTTATGAATCATGAACTTTTTTTATTTCGCTTTTGAATTATATTTAAAGTTCACATCTGCCTTAATAATGCAAATTCCTACTCCAGGAACTTGTCATAAATAATGGGATAAAATTGATGTGACTATTGTGCCTCATCTTGTTTCACAAATAAATAAGAAGAGTCAGTCTTCAAAATAAGTCTGTTTTCAGTCTTGTGTTTTATAAACAAAACACAACCAAATCTGGAGAATATTTTTTGCAGCAAGGAAAACTGGTAAATCAGCTAAGAGCTAAGTTGTCAAAAGATTTCTAAAATTTAGGGCTACTCATATGCTTTAAAATTAGTACACTTTAAATTGTTTCCCTGGGGTGTAGTTCAGAGCCTTGAACCTCAACTCTAGCTTCAACTTCACCACAGAAAAAAAAAACAAGAAAAAAAGAATTTATACAGTACGTTACTGAAACACTTCTTAGGGAAGTTGTATGCCCTATTCTGTGTCAGATTTTTATGTGATTTCTCATTCCTGAAACAAAAATATACCAGTGTAAGTGAAATACTTTTATTATTGGAATCATACAAACATAAGATACCTAACCACTGGAGTGAGTAAAAGGAAGGATGTTCTGGTGCGCTTTTTCAGTAATATCTTTCTGTTTAAGCCACTGAGGAGTAAATATGGAGGCCTACATTTAACAGGGTACACAGGTTCCCATCTCCTTTATAGATATATCCTATTATTTTCTCCACTAATTGCTATGGAAAATTTTGGAGCCAAATAACTTTTTGGAGGTGAGCTATCATCGGATAAAGATGACTGTGGATTCTATTACAGACAGAAGAACACTGCATTTAATTTCTTGCTCTTTCTGAAGTTCATATTCTATTCTAGTTTTAGTAGACCTCTTCATGTCAAAAGGTATTCAGGACTAGACTCAATAAAACTAGATTAAGGAAATACATGAGGCACATACTTAAGAGATCCCTTTTGCAAAGATATGAAATGTATTCTTCTAAAGTGCAATGCAATTTTTTTACTGTTTTTTTTACCTACTTTTTCGACTACTTTATGTGTTTAACTAGATAATTATTTGTACTGAATCCATAACTTTTTCATCTGAACTTTCTATTGCATGAAAATTTTACTCAGTCTAGATAAGAAGAGCAGTGGATTAAAATGTCAACACCTGTTTGGTTATGACAATCTTAACAGCAATCATGACTGCTGTAAATGTGGAAACTTCACTCATGTAAAAGCTGAAGCCTGAAGGTCTGACAGAATAACTATAATATAGTTGTATTCTCAGGTTTTTTCCACGTAATGCTCAGGGCAGTCTTATAGGAACTATATACTTTACAATAGATATGTAGCAGAAAAGCAAAGCTTGAACTAGGAGACTGTCAATTAAATATCTAAAGGAAACTAATAGAGTGAACATTCCCATCCAAATCTCTAATGTGATTTTCAGGTTGCTTTTCCCTAAAACTAATTTTGTTTCTGTAACCAATTTTCCTTCTTACTTATCTGTAAAGTCTGACATTCTTTGGTCACCTTTCAGGCTATACTGTTCAAAAGATACTATTTCTCAAGAAAACAGAAGTGTGAGTGATGAGGATTAACACAGCATTTCAGATGGAAAGTTGTTATCAATGTAATTGTTAGCATTAACTTCGTTAAAGCCAAGTTTGCACTCCTGGCATCCCAGAAAAAGAGTGATGTCTGGCAACAAGACGTGATTCAAAAGCAAAACATCAGAGGTATTCAAGATGTTTCCTGTATCTCACTCACCTCATGAAGGAATTCATAGTCAAACATAGTCATCAGCAACACTAGGAAAATCTATAGCGACTTCTGTTAATTTTCACAATATACTCAGGGCACTTCCAAAAAAGTGTGTGACATCCTAGAAATGTTTAACAATGTTCTTTCTCAAATCACTTGCAGAAGTAGAGACTGGTACATTTGCATGGTAATCAAACGTCAAAAAATTATAAAGAATGCACAATAGAAAAAACAAACAACTCCCAAGTGTTTGAGGAATCTTTGATCGTTCATTTTTGCTTAATATGTTTGCAACTTCTTAACCGAGTTACAACAGATGCATAAAACAGCTCAATCCACGTAAGCTTCTAAGATCTATATAAACTGAATTGTGTTCTCCCACGAGGTGTTCCTTTGGACATAATGGAGCAGACCATATGTAAGTTTAATTAAAATCTACATCTGCAGAAGTCAATAGCTTTGCAGTCAGCTGATGTGCAGCTGCTGAAATGCTTCAGTATAAGTAGCAAAAAGAAAGGTAGAAAAAAAACCCCTGTGAAACTGCAGACTGAAAAATACGCAAACAAGAGCTCACTGCCTCCAACAGCGCATCTGGACGATTCTGTTGGTCACTGCTGCTGCCAGCTGTAGCTCCCTGACTGGTAATTCTAAAACAAGCAGCTAAGAACCCTCAGGCAAATCCGTTTCATTCATAACGCAGATATGCCGATGAGAATATTCACATGAACTCGTATCCATATTCTGGAGGAAGTTTTATATTTCACCCCATTCTGAAAAGACTGGATTTTCAGGAGCTCCCATGTCGGCACCGTTTAGGACTGCCTGCGTCTGCCCGGCTCCAAGGAGCCTGCTGGCCCTCACCGGGGATGCGGTCCCGCCGCGGCAGAGCTCACAACGGGAGTTGTGATTTGGCAGTGAAAAGCGGCTAGATTAGATTTCCCTTTTCCCTTTTTTTTTTTTTTTTAAGGAGTGACAACGTCTGCCACCTTTTGTCCTTTGAGATACTTCATAGTACGGACCGATTAATGGAAACCTGTGAAGGAGGTGAAAACAATGAGCACAGGCAGTGTTTAGCCTGAAGGACTTGCTGCCGGCTGGCTACCTGTTGAGGTGGGTTCACTCAGGCACTTCATTTTTTCTGTCTCTCCAAGAGAGTTCATTTAAGCCCGGCCGGACCTGCCGAACGCCGCCCAGCCTTTCTGGCAGACGCGGCTCCCGAGTCTCCCTAGGATTGGAGGCACCAAGCAGAGAGAAGTTTTCTGCGGAGAGGACTGAGATTCCGCTCCTGCCCGCGGACCGCCCCGCGCTCCCGCTGCCGCCCTGCGTGGGCAATCACAAGCTGAAAGAAGGGAAGAAAAGGGTGGGGGAAAATAAGGAGGGAGGAAAAAAACCCCACCCTTTCTTTCTTCGAGAAGACGTTCCTGGGGAGCTCAGTCTCCCGGAGCAGCGGGCGGCACTACCAGAGCGGAGGTCGTGGACACTCCGGCGCCGCGCGGGGCTGGCGCGGTGGCAGCGGGGAAGGGGGTCCCCGCGGACAGGTCGGGTGGGCTCTGCCTGCGAGGGGCGGCGGGGCTGCCGAGCAGGCTCCGCGCCCCTGCGAGCGCCGGGGCGCCCTAAGCGGTGGCACCCCCCGCTCCCCGCCGCCTCCCGGCGCTGGTGGGGCGGCCGCTCTTGGCTCGCCGCCGTCCGCGGTGCCGTCAGCGGTGGCTCCGCGTTCCGCCCGCGGGAACTTTGCCCGGCGCGCAAGGGGAAGGATGGAGCCACGGGAGCCCGCGGCGGGGCACCTCAACAGGTCCCGAGCTGTGGCAGAGCTGCCCCGCGGGGAGTTCAACCTCTCTGGGCTGCCAGAGGAGGAGGGGAAGCCCCTCTTCGGCATCGGCATCGAGAACTTCATCACCTTGATCGTCTTCGGCTTGATCTTCACCTTGGGGGTGCTGGGCAACACCCTGGTGATCACGGTGCTGGCAAGGAGCAAGCCAGGCAAGCGCCGAAGCACCACCAACATCTTCATCCTCAACCTGAGCATCGCGGACCTGGCCTACCTACTCTTCTGCATTCCTTTCCAGTCTACAGTCTACGTGCTCCCCACCTGGGTGCTGGGTGCCTTCATCTGCAAGTTCATCCACTACTTCTTCACCATCTCCATGCTGGTGAGCATCTTCACGCTCTCGGCCATGTCCGTGGACCGCTATGTGGCCATTGTGCACTCCCGGCGCTCCTCGGCCCTGCGCATTCCCCGCAATGCACTGGTGGGTGTGGGGCTCATCTGGGCACTCTCCTTCGCCATGGCCTCACCTGTGGCTCACCACCAGCGCATCTTCCACCGTGAGACCAGCAACCAGACCTTTTGCTGGGAGCACTGGCCCAACCCACGCCACAAGAAGGTCTACGTGGTTTGCACATTCGTCTTTGGATATCTGCTGCCACTGCTTCTCATCACCTTCTGCTATGCTAAGGTGAGGCAAATGTAAAAGGAATGGGGGAGTATGATGGTGGTAGATGTCAAGGATGGTGGTAGGGTCATTTCTGGGCATGTGTAGGGACGTGGCACTGTTGGGAGGAAAAGGAGTAGGGGTGAATTTATGGCAGAAAGGGAGAGAACAGATTTTATAGCTGGGAGGAGACAACATCTGTGCAGTGGCACAAGAAGAGAGAACAGGTTTTATAGCTGGGAGGGGACGACATCTGTGCAGTGGTACAGGTCAAAACAGAGATTGCATGAGGTGAGCGGGGGGGTGGGGTGTGGTTTTGACAATTACTGGGGTCTCTCTGCCAGATTTCCTTGTTGCAGAATGCTGAGAAGCCCCAGTGCTCTGCTGCTTTATCTGTCACCACAACTCTTTTATTTTCTTGCAGTGCTGTATGAGGAGTTTAACTCAATGAAGTACAACAAAGCAACAAGTTGTCCAGGCTTCACAGTCGTTCTTTAAAATGCAGTGCACTTAAAAAAGACACAAACTACCAGTTTGGTCTGGTCCAGTTAACACATGAAGAGCAGAATGTGCATCCCACTGCCTGGTCCCTATGTGCCCTGTCTTGCCCCACCTGAAGCTGATGGGAGGTTTGCCTCTGACTTCAGCAAGGGAAGGTAGTTCCAGGGAGCAGGGCATGAGGACCCACACAGGAAAAAGTAATAAGCAAGGGTACCTAAATACAGGTATTTAAGGACTTTTCTGCTTATTTTTCTGTGTGTAATAATTGTAGCCTTCAGCATAGGGCCCTCTGCTTGCTGCTGAACCGGATCCGGAACACGAGTTGCTACCTGCTGAGTTAGGCAGAGATCCTGCTGTTTCTGTGCCAGCAATCTTCAGCTGCAGGATTTCTCCTTGGGCAGTGATTTACATTTGAAAGGATAGGACTGCTCTTGCAGATGAGGACTGCTTAAATGTTGAGAACAGAGTTCTTTAATTGGCAAGTTCAATAGATCTACCTGAAGTAGTTAATTTGATCAAAGAATTTTCTGTTCTGTTCTGTATTACATCAGTGTAATTGTGAGGTGCAAACTGAGACTAGAATGGCATCTGACTCTGCTAAAATCAAGGCATGCAGAGCTCAAAGGACAATATTTCTAAATTACTGGTTGTAGCGAAACAAGTCCAACCTGGCAAATGAAGAAGAAATGCATGTTTTCATATATAAACTGAATACTGCTTTCCCTGTGTGAATACACTGGTATTTCATCTACAGTGGTGAATAAGACTGAGCTGTAGCCATAGATCATCAGTTTGAGGAAAACACTACATATTGCACAGAGAATGTTACAGAATGAGTGGAGAGGGAGCTTTTCAGCTACTAATTTTTCCCTATTTCAAAGCCAAAGCATCTTCAATTTCAGTATAAAGTCTATGTGAGAGAAAACTGAAAACAATACTTTCTAAATTAGGATAGTCCTGCACAATATAGGGAGGAAAGAAAGAAATATGCTTAATCAAAATATATGCATAGTAAATATAATACATCCTGTTTTTACAAAGCACCTCTACAAAAGTAGATATCTCAATATTAGTATGAATATGTAGTTAAAACAAAACCAAAAGAACCACAACAAAAACCCCAAGCCAACAATAGCAACCCTATGTAAAAACATGCCCAGAACAAGTCAATGAAATCAAGGCCAGGCTAGGATGTCATGCTTGCTTGGTGATGAGTTTTGAGTCTATATGTATTATCCTGCTTGCCATGGTGTCAGACTGGAAGATCTAACCTGAAGGCCTGAGTTTTAGAAGATACCTAGGAAATACCTGGTATTCCCATCAGTGTCAATGACGCTGCAAAATGCCATGACGGGTACAACACTGTTGAAGGTATTTGTACCCCACAGCTTGTACCCCACTTGTTCCTGCCCTCATTAGGAACCACTGGCAAATCTCCACCTGCAATACTTGGGCACTTGGGGCAGAGTGAGGAAGAAATTAAGGATGATAGTAGCTGAAAATCAGAGCTGAAGTTTCAGATTTCTCGAAGCCATTGCTACTCTGACAGATCTTGAGTAAATTGGTCACTGCAAGCTTTTATTGATGTTAATAAAGTTTTATGAAGTACAACAAGTATTTTGGCTTCTGAACGCACACACAGTTAGAGGATTGCTGCTGTGGAATACCATCAGAAGTACTATAAAGACCATAGAATCATAGAACAGTTTGGGTTGGAAAGGACCCTAAAGATCATCTAGTTCCAAAACCCCCTGTCATGGGCAGGGACACCTCCCACTAGACCAAGTTGCTCAGAGCTCCATCCTACCTGGCCTTGAACACTTTTGAGGATGTGGCATCCACAGTTCCAGTACCTCATCACCCTCATAGCAAGGGATTTCTTCGTAATATCTAATCTAAACCTACCCTCCTTCAGCTTAAAGCTGTGACCCCTTGTCCTATCACTATATGCTCTCATAAAAAGTCCCTATCCAGCTCTCTCATAGGCCTCCTCTAGGTACTGGAAGACTGGCAAAGGGTCTCCACAGACCCTTCTCTTCTCCAGGAGGAGCAACCCCAGCTCTCAGCCTGTCTTCATAGGAGAGGTTAGTCTCTACGTTAGTTTCTTATGGACTTCACTGATTTTCATGAAGAGTGGATCAGTGAAATAATGCAATCTTCTGGTACAGATTAAGAACTGATACAGATTAAGACAAAGGAGACTAATTTCTCTATTTGAATATATTGCCTTTTGCAGACTGCTTTAAGGCAGTTCTGTTTCTTTCATAAGCAAATTGCAATTGAACTTTCAAGTTTTGAAAGTCTCATTTTTTAGGCACTCTAATAGGGAACCAAGTTCTTTCTTTCTCTCTCTCTCTTCCCCCTAAATTGTATTATGAAAGATTTATATCTTCCCCAGTGGATAACCTGCAGAAGTCCTGATAGTGCCAGGTATTTGGAAACAGTGTCTTCCCAAAATACCTCACGTGATGTGCTCTTCAAGTAGAGATTCACGAGATTGTGCTCTGTGTCTTGTGTGTACACTTTCACCTTTTCTCTCTTCCGTAAATAACTTTGCTTCAGTTTAAGCCAAATTTTTGATAGAGAAGTGAAAATATCAGGAGGATTGATATTTCCCTAGTTTTGTGAAAACAGCAACCAATGAGTGAAGAAGGTAGAAAGTCTCCATCATCCTCTCTTAAGGAGAGTCAGTTTGCTCTCAACTGCTAAACATCAGACAAGCCATAGGGGAAGAGGTCTTATGTAGCATCAACGTATGGAGAAGACACATCTTTTTGGGGACACAGCCAAGAAGTCACAAATCTGTAGGAAACAAGCTTTTGTTGCCTCACAGACTTAATCTTGAAAGAAGTTTACTACTCAAGAGAGAGGATCAGTGATTATGTCATTTTTAGTTGAGTCACAGCACTGCATACTTGTAGACAGTCTGTATTTGACTTTTTCATTGCTTATCATACTACTTGCCATATTTTTTTAATACTGACTTTTCTGTGTGTGCTTTGTAACAGTGCTACAACATTTGCTCACTAATGTGTTCCTAAAGAGTGAAGTGATAAATGATTCCCAGACAGCTTCTAACAAAAATTGGCGCCTGCCAGGGTCATGCAATGTGACAACTAATTTTGGATATCACAGCTTTTCAAGGATTCAGTCCTTGAAAATCAGGCCTCCTTCATTCAAGCCTTTAGGTCGGACACCTGTAATTATTAACAAACATTTCCTTTTATAGATGTATGATTTTAAAAGCTTTTTTAAAAACAAATATGTCTTGCCTTGGGAGTGTTTCCATTGTTATCTATCATTCTGAGCATTCTGAATTCACAGAAGTCATGTATGATTTATAAAATTGGTTAAAACTAAGCCATAAAAAGAAAGAGCCTCAACATAAGATACAAGCTTATGTGGTTTTTGGCTTCAGATATTGTATCTTAAATTTTGCTGAGCAGTAAGGGGAAAAATTATTAAACTGCACTGAAAAGAGTGACACACTTAATTGAAAGAGGGTGAAGGATCTATTGTGACAATAGAAGTAACAGCATTACTTTAAAACATGGATTGCAGGCAATGGCACTTGAATTTAAATCAGGTTCATACTACAGAGATGGTTCAGAATGTAATGCTTACATTATGGCTCTGTTAAACAAACAGTTCATTCTTATTAGATAATGACCTGGCTTTCCTTCTGCATGATTTCCTTCTGCATGATTTTCAATGGCTGATAATGAAGGTGTAGTCAGTGGAATTATTGTATACATGCAGATGGGAAGACAGAAAAGCTGTTCTTTCCCTCAGATCCAACTAAGAACAGGGACATGAAAGCTGGAGTTAGAAAAGTTTCATGTTTCTTTTCTACAGAGCTTAATTTTTTTAAAAAATGTTACACCTTATGAGAACAGGTTAGGACCTGTTTTTTAGCAAGCTGGGTATTTAATTTCATAGGTTAAAAATGCAATGTAAATCTATTAGTGTAAATGTACCCACTAATACATGCAAATGTATTAGTGGATATTTTGAAATACTTTCTTAAGAGAAATAGCCTGAGACAAATTAAGAGTTGCATATAGAATTATTGTTCATTCAGGTAAAGACAGTGGCTCTTAGAGGAATAATTTAGTATTCATTGGTCCAGAGAAGAGATAATTTGAAATGGGTGATAAGGAGAGTGTTTTTCATTTACCTTGTAGTGTTTGTGCATAAACACAGCTCTTTTTATTCCTCCATGGCATTCTGTGTAGGTCTTTGAGTGCTGTTCCACTGATGTTGACAGGTAATTGCATTTTGCATATTTCTCTTGCTGCTGGTTTGCATACCATCTGGTACACTACTACCTAGAGCCAGCATGTTTTCACTGCAGATGCTTATTTTATGAAATATATATATATAATCTGAAAGAGGGGAAGTTGAAAAGGATTCATTTAAAAGTTATCATCTAAATTGGCACCAAAACTCTCTACCACCATCTCCCATCCCCACCAAATATCCAATTTAACGGTTTTGTCTACTGCATCTTTCTTTGGATTGGAGAGAGATGCAATGCAAAAACTTGTGCTAAAAGTTTAAGCACAAAAGACAAAAATACTTGTAACTTTAAAAAAAGACTTTGCAGTTCTGATTTCTGGGATGAGTTTATCTGATTTTAGTCTCGGACTGTGAGGGTCCAGTGAAACAGCCCATCATTGTAAATTATGTGAAGGAGATATGATAGATGAAGCAGCAGTGATGGGAAGTGAACTTAATTTTATTCCTTGCATGCCCTTTTTTTAGTTTTACATTTTTCACTGATGGACCCAGCAATTCAGCTGTTTTGTACAGGGTGATGGTAAGTGAATAAAAAGTCTGTGAGCCAGATGGTTATTTTCCTGATCTTCTGATGGACTTCAGGGTTTCCTCTGTCATTTTCTGGTCTGCTTCATCCTGAAGAAGAAAGTAGGAATAAAGCCAAAAGGGGACCTTCTCAGGGAAAACTGATTTATTTTTTCCCTGCTTTTCCTGAGCTCAGGTTAGTCTTGGTGGCAGTCTGGATAGTGTTTCAGAATAGGAAGTGCTTGCAGGAAGAGTCTTTCACATGTTAGTGCACAGACAACCACAAACAGACTGCACTTAGAATATTAATGGTTACAATTAATTTTTAGTCTTATTGTTCTTGGTTCACTGGTAGCTAAGAGTAGACACTTAAAAAGTGGAATATGCTGATGAGCTATGGTTATTCACAAATACCAATTTATTTCTTTTAATTCTCTAAGACTCAGATGCCAGAGTGGGATCATATCTCTAGGTAACTTTGATGTCTGTCCTGGTAGTTGTTAGGTGTGCTCCCCAAAGAAAACAAAGGAAATGTCCCCAGATGATATAAAAGAACTTGAATTTGCACCCTTTTCCCCACCTTAAGAAGTCCTTATGGACCATAAAATTTAGTGTTACATTCCTTAAAAAAAATATTTTAAAGCTGGATTATTTTACCTACTAAATCTGGATGATCTTACCTTTTATATCATTCTCATTTCATCTTAGAGCAATGTAAAATGCAACCTAGCAGCATCATCTAACAGAGCCCTTCACTTTGATGCTGTCTCTAAAAAATTCCTCTTGCCATATTTTAATTAAATCCTCCAGTTTAATAAGAATTTATCTTTTTTATTCTGTATGGTTTGTAGTATGTTAAACATATTCAGCTGAAGAGCACATTCCCTGCCCTCCATACCTACAAATCATGCCATAAGAATATACTGGATTCAGGTAATAATGAATGCAGATAAAGTAGGGCATGTACCTCTGTGCATCCACTATCCAAAACCTTATGTGTAAAGTACTGTGTTGAAATTTGGATCCTGCTCTTGGATGATGAGCCTTTTTGTAACATATTTTTGAAAATTACTCATGAAAGATGCATGGCAAGTATCATCAAACTGTTGATAAAAGTCACACCTCATATATTGTGCCTCATTTTGGTATAAATTATTTTTGAAAGCCCAAGCTTCTTTTGAAGATCAAGTAGTGCCAGTATCCTGATTATATTACTCAAAAATCCATCTGAAAGAAGGAAATTACTCAGGTGACTCAGAAAAACTCTGACTCAAAATATATTTTTCTTGTGTTACACTCAGTAAAGGTCATTCTAAATTAACAGGTATCGATTTTTAATGGAAGAAGAGTTGTTGCTAATTCTAGGTGCATGATGGGTTTCCTTGTTAATTCATAACATGTATTTTTAATGTAATATGTCTGAATTTTTATATAAGAATTCAGTTGTGGTCTGTTTCATATTTGTGGATTCATACAGATGCAGATATGTATTTCCTTCAGTTTTCATACTGTGCACTTTGGAAATGTGTAAATTGGATCAGCAATGCTTGTAAGGGAATCATACAGTGCAGAAGAGCATACTCTAAGATATGTGGGTTTGAATTTTATTTGAATAGGAAATGGTGAAATACAATACAAGATGCAAATTAATCTTTTCAGGTTCTTAACCACCTGCACAAGAAGTTGAGAAACATGTCAAAGAAGTCAGAAGCATCCAAGAAAAAGGTATATTGTATTCATTACTATTATTTATTTGTTTATATTTTAGTTTTATGGCTAAACACATTTGGTATTTTATTGCTTCTTGCTAAAGATGTAACAGAAAGAAGAAACTGAAATTAAGTATTTCATGAAGTATTCAGTGTCCCTCTGAACTTAGCAGGATTGGAATCTTTTCCGACCCAAGTTTTCCATCACATTACATCAAACCACTACCTGAGATCCCCATATTTTGAACGTCAAAGCATCTGAAATTTAGGCATGGAGAGACAACCTATCTTTAGAATTAAATGGTTTTGGTCTTTTTTTCTCACAGGAATTTTCCCCTGACTAAATAAAGGGATTTTTTTTAATAGGCCGTTTTTTTAATATTTTTTAAAGAATTCCTCTGTTATATGTTTAAAATTAGGGTCTCTAATAAGAGACTTTTAATGATTCTCCTATTCTTCTTTGATTTTCCACACAGTGTTTTTTGGTTCTACATTCAAGATGCAAATTACATACTGGTTACCAGTAGAATCATGAAAGGTCTTTAAAGCAGAATATAAGCTTTGTGACTTAGAACAATATTTGAAAGATGTGTTTATACCAAGAAATTGTCAGTTAATATAATACAGATTTGACCACAGTAATCATCAACTAACTTCTCAGTTTATGACACTGGAGTCAGAAAAACCCCTTAGGCAATAGCTCTTCATTTGATCTGATCACTATTTCCATATGGACACGCAGACTGTCTGCAATGTAAATGAGATGTACATGGGCTCAACAGGGAATAAGTAAGCTATTATTTATGCATTCTCTATTTTCCTGAAATATACCCTAGTCAATAGATTTCGATTCCTAGAATTAGGACCTTTACGGCCCTGATTCTGTAAAATACTTAATATATACGGTTTTGCATCTAATGTTGTCAAGGCCAATGGTGTAGTTTTCAAAGACATTCTATATATTGCCATTTCTCATCTAAATTATTCTCAAACTGGAAATCTGTGCATTCCGCTAAACACTAAGTCTTAAGAATTACATATCTGGCTAGGAACTAGCATTCGTAGCTTCAGGGTAAAGCATTACAGACATGATCAAGACTGCTTGGATGAATCAGGATTCAGTAATCAAAAGGGGAAAAAAAATAAGCCAAAACTTTTATTTTGCCTTAGAAAATAAGTTTCTGAATCTAAGGCCTAACTTACGTTTTTCAAACACTACATTCATTAGTGTGCTAATGCTCTGTCTGGTTACCATATCTTTTTTATTTTTATTTCCTTCTACAGTCTTGTTAAGAATGCATTTCAGGTATAATTATACATTTGTGGCTGTATTGAAACCTTTAGGAATATTTTGGTAGTAGAACCTTACAATAAATTTGCTGTTTGTGTGGAAAAAAGTTAATGAAAAATATTAATTTGCCTAAATTATATTTTTCATGCATTTTGGTCACCAAGCATTAGTATTAACAATATATCAGGCAGGTTTTATTTGCTAATGGGAAACCCTAAGCAAGCCCTCATTAGATAAACAAGAGCTGATCTTTAGTGATACTTTGTTTGCAAGACATAGTGATGATTTTGAAAAGGTAAGCTCTGAAGTTAGGCTTAGGAGGAACAAAGGGATAAAACAAATGTTGTGAGGTTTCCTAATGCAAAATTGCTTATTCTGAAGATGTGAAATAACTTCAGTAAAAGTTAAAAGGGACACATGGTCAGCCTCTGCTTTCAGGTGCATCTGTAATCTACTGAAAGGTGGTGATTTTCCTAGTTAATTTTTTTTTTAGCATTTTGGACAAACTGAAGTAATATACTTCTTTTGAAGTACATGTGGTATCCTGAAAATCTGTTTTCACTTGGAATATTAACACATCTAACACAGTGATCAGAGAATGAACTGCTCTTAATTTGTACACCCTTCTTAACACATATTCTACTGATGAGACCTGAAAAAGAAAACATTTCTGTGGCTGTTTTAGTGGCAAATGACTTAAACTCCATAGGGCTAAGTAGAGGAACCACTTTTGAAAAGATGATTGCTTAAGACTATACAAATTGTATTAACTACAGATATAATGTCCTCTGGTTTCTGTTGTGAGATTATACTGACCAGCAACAGTATCTGTCATAAGTTATTTTGGCCTGTTGCCACAGAAATCAAAATTTTTTCCCCACAAGTTTCTCTAAGTCAACTCGTATTCTGATTAGGTAGATCAGTCTGAATTATTACTGAGCATTAATCAGTTCAAGAAGTATACACCAAGTTCAATAAACTATCAAAAACTCAACATATTTTCTGTGCTGCAATATTTATCACTCTATGGTCACTGGGTTAGTTTTGGCTGTGAAGAAGAGCCTAAGTTTTCTGAAAAATTATATTATAAAGCATTAATATAGTCATCATAATGGCCCATAACATAATATGCTTTTGAATTATTATCAACTTTCAATTGGGAGGCTGAGTTGAAAGAATACTTGTTAGATGAGTAGATATTAATTAGTTAGGCAACTGCAAAGTGGTAACTTGTTGTTTCTGAATTAAGTGAAAGCTAAAAAAAAAATTAACAGTCAAATTCCACTGTGCCCTGACAGAACTCCTTCAGCACCTGGAGGGTCGTAGTAACTGATTCTGCAGCTGTCAGAATGGATCTAATGATCTTGATGGCTGCTCATCTCATAAATAGTGAAGTGGAATATGGAGGCAGCACTGAGGATATTTTGTGTTCCATTTTTTTAATTCAGTATTTGGTGGTGAGCTTTAATTTCCAGATTGCTTTTGACAAGATGCAATCATCAGAAAATTCAAGCTCCTTACTCTTTTTTTTCCTCTACTTCTATCCCAGAATGTGGTTGTATGACACTCCCTGTGGAAATTCTATCTTTAAAGGAGAGACTTTCAAAAAAATTCCTGCATCTTTAGTAAGCACTTGAGCAAAGTGACTGCTCTAATCTCTTCCATGAGCTGCCTTCATGTATACTAGATCGCTCTTGAAATTTTCATGAGAAGTGCTTGTGCACTGTACTAAAACATAGATCATCAGATCTGGATGAGATTTCCCAAAGATCTCTGTTAATATTATTTTGCATCAGGCTTACATCCACCTCAGAAAAAGCTAGGCTTTTGTGTAGGGAGTTGGGAACATCATTCTTTATCTTTGAGGAAAGTTATGTGTTTGCATTTTACTATGGCATTTTCAAGCCTAAGGTTCTCCTTTGCAGTAGTTCACCATGAAAAATAAAGCCCATACAGGTAATGGGGTAAAATCAGTAATAAATATTCCAGTGTGGTCTGTCTCAGTGTACTTTTTTTTCCACCAAATAATGGTTTTGAGGCAGGTTTAAAGCTGATTCTTCAAGTGCTCATCAGACATCTGTGTTTTCCTTTCCTTGTCTCAGACAGCACAGACTGTGTTGGTGGTGGTAGTGGTTTTTGGCATCTCCTGGCTGCCGCATCACGTGATCCATCTCTGGGCTGAATTTGGAGTTTTCCCACTGACTCAAGCCTCCTTTCTCTTCAGGGTAATTGCACACTGCCTGGCTTACAGCAATTCTTCTGTGAACCCAGTTATATATGCATTTCTATCTGAAAACTTTAGGAAGGCCTACAAACAAGTCTTCAAATGCCAGACGGGTAAAAAGTCACCTCTGAATGATGCTAAGGAAAATAAAAGTCGGATAGATACACCACCATCCACCAATTGTACCCATGTGTGAATATTGAGAAGGCCTGTATGTTGGCTCTTCATTTGTGTCAACTAAACACCAAGAAAAAGCACAATGAGCTTTATCCTGTGTTTATCTTGATAAAACTAATTGGTATTTAATGTACTGAAGTTGCATGTGTAGCAAAAGTCTGTTAAACTGGTTTGAAAGAAACTGGGCTGATCCTTTGCATCTTAGACAACTTTATCAAATGAAGCTCTTGAACCTTTTTAAGATATTTAAATATTTAAAGATATCTGAGAAAAAAATGTTGAGATTATATGTCTGTATTCTTACTCACTAAGCATACAAATATACAAGAAGATGTTGATATGGACAGGTAACTTTCTGACATCTTACTCCATCAAAGTGAAATGATGGATAAATTTTCTGTCTTAAAGATAATAAATACTGGGGTACTATGATTTCAGAGGGTAAAACTTCTGTTCTCTCTTCAGATTGTTTTGACAATGCCTTTTTTTTTTTAAAGTAAGTATGGGCTCTGATTTGGAGTTGAAATAAGCCGTGTACAACTTGAGGCAATTGCTTTAGAGAGGAAATGCTAATTTTATCTGTTTAGCTGTTTGTAATGTATCTTACTGAGCAAAGATGGACTGTTTTTCCACTTCATATGGCTGCCTTACTGTAGACATAGAACTTTTATGTATACTATAGAAGGTTTTTTTTACGGTCTGTGTGTAGTTGTACCAAAATGTGGATTTATGTCTAACTGAGGGAAGCTTTTCTTCACGTGTTGAATGTGCATGTTTTCTCAACTTTATAGACTTTGAGATGGACATACAGTTTTAAATGTGTAATATATGCATATGTTTTAAAATATTATGTTCCATAAAGCAACTCTAGACAATGCGTAAGTATTTAAAAATAACATTCCCTTAAAAGTTGTGGGGCTTGATATCATGTAGTTTTAAATTGGAAATACACAGGAAGTTGCATTGAAATGAATGCAAAATATGTATTGCAAATGGTACAATTCTGCAAATTCTTAAATAAAATTAATAGTTTCAGCAATTTTATAAATATATTTAATAGGTCTCTAAGTGGTAAACCACTAAAGAAATAGTGGAAGGGCCCTTACTCCTTTGAGAACATTCTTTTAGCTGGAATAAGATATGATTTTATCTTTCTTATTAATGACTCATAGACTCATAGAGTAAATCAAATTAAAGGAACCTCTGGACATACTCTCAAGGCAGGGATACCTTCAGAGTTATACTGCTTCCTTGTCTAGGCAAGTTCTGAAAATTTCTAAGGATGGCAACTCAATAATATTTTTGGGGCAACCTGTACCAGTGACTAATTACTCCCACTAAAGTAGTTTTTCTTATCCAGAGTTGGGATTTCCCTTGATGTATCTTGTGACCATTGCTTTCTGTCCTTTTGCTGTCTTCTCTCTAACTTACTAATATGCAATTTAAAACGGCAATTAAATTTCCCCTAATCTCTTCTGAAACAATGTGTCGCTATCGTGCCCCAGGTCCTCGGCCAGAATAGTGGCCTTACACTGCCCTCCCTCCAGCTTATCCATCCCTCTCACGAACTGAGGTGTTCAAAGTGTGTTCTGATGTAGCCTCATGAGCACAGAATAGACTAATTGCTTCCCTTGACCTTTGGCTGATTCTTGCTAATACAGCTCAGTATTATAATTTATTATTGCAAGGTTATGCTGCTGACTCATTTAATTTAATTTCTGCTTCAGAAGCACTCTAGTCCTTTTCCGAAGAATAGCACCGAGTCCCAGTCCAAGTTTCAGAACTTCACTTCTGGCTTTGTCGAACATCATGCACTTGATAGTGGTTACTTCCATTCCTCCAGCTGATCAACAGCCCTCTGAAAGGTAGCCCTGATCTCCAAAAAACCATCACTACCCCAGGTTTGGTATCGTGTAAAATTGGTGAGAGAGTCCTGCACCGTTGTCCTGGACCCTGAAGATGCTAAGTAGTGTTGGCCAGATTCTCTTTCAGATTCCTTTTTCTCCATAAACTTGTCATAAAAAAAAATAGTGCAGAGTGGTGGAACATCAGCTATGGAGGGTTAGTGCACATAAAAATATTTACGTGTATGTGTCAGTATTGGAATCTTGGAATCAGTAAAATAATATTGAAGACGTGCTATTGCATGTGTGGCGTTTGTGTCCATTTGTTCATATGAAGAGATCATTTGATGATATTGCTAGGAAAACAAATTATATGGAAAAAAACCAATCTCAGTTGGAGAAGAAGGGTTTATGCAGGAAATCATTTCCTAGTTTAGAAATGAGGTTCAGAAACAGCCTAGAAAGAAGTTCCTTTGAGTTTTCGGATCCTCATCACCTCAATCACTCAAATTATTAAAGCACTATTAGACTTCAGCTGAATTTATAACATGTTAGGAAATTCTACAATTTTGAAAATGGTTTTTAAAAGAAAAAAATTGTGATTTTATTACTTTGAATAAAAATTACCATGAAAATTTATAAGTATATATATTTAACAAGCTGATTTTATTGTTTTATCTGGAGAAGGCTTTTATTTCTTAATTGTACATAATTTTAAACCTAGGAGCTACATCTATTTGAAATTTTAAGGATGAGAGGGTGGGGGATGGGGATGTAGTCACAACTACTCAGAAAGATCCCACCTCGTTCCTGGAGAGTATCAGTAATATTTCCACCTAACTTTTCAGAAAAATCTTAAGAAACAGTTCATACCCCAAGGCTCAATTTCCTGCTTAAAACAAGCTTTTGTTAGTCCATGTTTCTACTGTGTGACTTTGTCACACCCAGTGGTGACAAGAAAGTTATGAATATAAAAGTAGTGTTAATGTGTGTTGTGAACTGTGTCCAACCTTTGAGCAGCTGAGCAGTTGGTTGGGAAGGTGTCATGCCACAATAATGGATGACTTGAGTAGAAAATCAGGGAATGGGTGCTAAGATCCCTTACAACTGGGTGTCTGCTTCCAAGTTCTGAGCTTGTTGGGAGGGATTATTACTTCTGGTGGAAAGCAAAGCAAAAGTTCCACCTCATTGACTGTCCTAATAAGTTTTTTTACATCTTTTTTTGACCAGAAAGGTTAATTTCAGTGTACATGAAGTAAAGAAGAGGGAAAAAAAGAAAATAATTTCTCTGGCTAGGGCTGAATTTTCCGCTGATAAACATAATATCACTGAATTTCACCCTGTTGTGTGAATTTGAAAATATGCTGTACAAAACAAAACAGGCAACAGGAATGATCACTCAAACTCCTCTCAAACTAAAGCAAGATTTGTATTTGCAACTAAGTAAATTCTTGCATTTCCCTTAAAATTCCTTAAAACAATATTTCTCATGAATTGCAAGAGTTGGAAAGTGTTACTCACATATTTTTTTAATAAAGTCCCTAAAATTTCATTGTATGTGTACTGCCAAAGTCCTACATTGCTGTGCTGCTTCACAAGCATCTCCAGAAGTATAAAATGTACAATGCACTTTCAACACTTGGGATGAATCCAAACAGATCAAGTAGTGGGAGTTGTTCAGTTCATCTTAAAACTGGGTGTTAGTGGAGAAATGTAGAAGTCTTTCCTTTTCATAGTTTTCTTTGCAGAGTGGATGAAAGACCAGAGGTGGGGTAGCATCCCTGTAACTTCTCGGGCTAACGTAAGAGGTTCTCCTTTCTTGCACGCTCTGGAAAGGAGCTCTGTTCTGTCCATCTTCTGAGGCTGTACTAAGATATTGCAGCAGGTTAATAGCCAAGTTCGCATTCTATACATTAGATTTTCTGTTTTGTACCACTTTTGCCTTAAAAAGATACAGAAGTCTCATCAGAAGAGGTAAATGAATTATTTATTGTTTGCCCTGCCTGGTTGTGGATAGATATTTGACATACTAAAGATTACAGCAGTGATCTTCTTCAACTAATAAAGCCTAAAATACACTTCCAAGATTCATGTGGACCCATTGTGCACTGCTGTACGTAAATCAGATTTAGGATCCATAGCCAAAAAAAAATAAATTAAATGGCACTTAGCCAACATACTGCTCATGATGTGCAAACACCTGAAAAATGAAGGAATTTGCTTACCTATATGTTCAGCTGTACTACCTTCACAGCTGACTGTATCACCCACCTAACTAATTTTGAAGAAAGGAATCTTTTTAGTTTAAAGTGAAGCTGACACTTAATTGCTGCTTCTAAGTGAGTCATTAAACCATACCGTTTTCAGTCTGAATTGTGTACTAAACATGATACGAAATAATGTAAACATTCATAATTGCCTAAGATTTTTATCTTGTATGAAAAAACGCAGAATTTCTTAATAATTTTCATATGTCTAAGTAGATAACAAACTCATGTGCTGTAATAGGTTACAAAAATATGCCCAAACTTCCTGAAATTATGTGTAAAAAATCATTATATTTAAGGAGCAAACTTAAATTTTGTTGTTGAGCGTTCCCATCTGCAATCTTAATATTCTTTCAATATTTCATATGATGAAATTAGTTGGATCTGTGATTATTTACAAATTCCTCAGAAGTATTTTTCTAAATTTAAACATTGAAAAAAGTTTATTTTTAAAAGCGTTTAATTTTTAGCCATGTAGGGCATTTTAATGACATATTTTGAGTTGCAGTCTTTTATATTCCCTTTCACTTTGCGTGCATGCACCCCTTTCTTTAAACCTTAACTTTATTATTTTCATAATCTCTTGTATCTTCATTTTCAAAAAAAAGTCACTATCTCCAAGAGATAAACATTATGCTTTATATATTTAATATTACAGTGAAATAAATTTTATTTTAAATCCCACATTGTAGGGAAAGAGGAGGATGTCTTTATAAAATAATTTTGTGAATGCATTATTTTTGACATTGTTATCTTCGTGGTTGCTTCACAGTATGATGTGACACATTGAACCTAATGATATTCGTGGTATTTTGAAAAAGGATAAAAGCAGAGAAAAGAACAGCTCTAGCTTGCAGAGCTTGTGTTAGTGTTCTGTATTCAGTCCATGTACAAATGTCAAAGACCCAAAAAATTAAAAATCTGTGTTTGTTTCAATGTATAATGCGTGTAAAGTAACATGCAGTTCTTCTAAGATATACTGTACTTTGCATGGATTTCGTGTGTTAGTTTCAGTCATCACTTCTTGGCTCTGTAATACAAAATACAAACTGCTTTTCTTTAAATTTTTTTATATAATACTTAAAAACAAGCAGTACACTGGGGATAACATCTAGCAAAAAAAGTGAACAAAAAACTCAATAGCATTAGATTGCTAGATGTCACTATGGGTTGAAAATTTAACTGATATGAAAAACATTCACATTTTCAAGTACTTAAGTGCATGGAATTAATAAACACTTTTTATTCAAGTGTAGTTTAAATCTCTGTAATTTATGTATAGTTTAAGAGACATGCAAACAGAGCCAGATTCATGTATTTGAATATGAGAAAAAACAGAGTTCTCCAGTGGTGTGAAGTACAAATCTATTTTATGAAAACCTGTATGTGGCTCCACTTTTGGAAGAAAGTAGTCAAATTAGTGCATATTTTGTGTGCATTTGCATTAACGTTGATCAAGGGCTATTTTAATGCAGCAAAAATAGCTGGTTGAGCATGAAATCAGATTACAATCAGTTTTACATGGAAACCTTTTACATGGAAACCTTTTAAAAACAAAAGTAAATGCTACAGCATGGATTAAAATTATGTGCACTTTATCCATTTTACTCTTCAATACTAAAAGAATTCTTTGTATATTCACAGGTATATGACATTTGTAGATATATTAGTGCACCTTGTCCAGATGCATTTACCAGATGAAGACTGAGGTCTCATTTTCTAGAAGTATTTCCTTTTGTGCAACATTCTTCTCTTGGAAAAGTTTGTACAATTTCCATTGCATGGTCATTCCATTCCCCCATAAATATTTAACCACATTTAAATTTTACTGAGAAAAATAAAACCTCTCCTCCAGTAATAAATCACCTGAGCTACATAGATGTTTCTGGCAATGCCTGTAGAGAATTTATCAACTTGCTGAGGTTTAATATTAAGATTTTGAAAGAAAATACAAAATTCTTTTTGGTGTCTTGTAGATGTGGCATTTACAGATGAGGTTATGGTGTGACAGTTCCTTTACATTGAATTTCATGATTTAGCACAAGCAAACTGATAGTTTTAATATAGTGAAATGAAAAGTCATACATTTAGGAATTAAGAACATAAGGCAAACTTTAAGAAATTATAATTGTACTGAAAAATGTTGAGACTGAAACTGTCAGTTAACTAAACATGACCTCCAACTCTGTGTAAATGAAATGACCTGCATAACCCCTGGAATCCTAAATTAAAGACATGGTGGTACCTGGGGTTGAGCCACTGGAAGCACTGCTGCCAAGTAGGGGCTTTCACATAGACATTCCTAGAGGTTCTTAAAAAAACCAAACACCCCAGCTGAAATCTGTTAGCAGTTCAGCACACTCACCTCCTAACTGGACACAGGAGAGAAAATATAATGAAAGGCTTGTTGGTCAGGATAAGGACAGAGAGGGATCACTCAGTATTTACCATCACAGGCAAAATAGACTCCAGTCAGTGAAATTAGTTTAATTCATTAGCAGTCAAATCAGATTAGGATAGTGAGAAATAAAACCAAATCTTAAAAACATCTTCCCCTCATCCTTTCCTTTTCCTGGGCTCAACTTCACTCCTGATTTTCTTTAGCTTCCCACCCTGACTGGCTCAGGGGGACAGGGAATGGTGGCTGCGGTCAGTTCATCATATATTGTCTCTGCCACCCCTTCCTCTTCAGGGGCAGGACTCCTCACACTTTCTTCCTCTACTCCGGTGTAGGGTTCCTCCCATGGGAGACAGTCCTCCACCAAGTTCTCCAATCTGAGTCCTTCCCATGGGCTGCAGTTCTTCGCTACCTGCACCTTCCATGAGGTGTAGTCCTTCAAGAACAGAGTGCTCCAGCCTGGGTGCCCCACAGGGTCACAGCCTTCTTCAGGCACCCACCTGCTCCAGAGTGGGGTCCTCCATGGGCTGCAGATGGATCTCTGCTCCCTTATGCTCCTCCATGGGCTGCAAGGGGACAGCCTGCCTCACCATGGACTGCACCATGGACTGCAGGGGAACCTCAGCTCCAGTACCTGGAGCACCTCCTCCCCCTCTTTCTTCACTGACCTTGTCTACAGAGTTTTCTTTCACATATTCTCACTCCTTTCTCTCACTACAGTTTCCACAATCCATCCAGCTCCCCCTTAGCTATGTTATCCTAGAGGTGGTACCATCGTTGCTGATGGGGCTCAGCCTTGGCCGGCAGCGAGACCATGGAGCTGGCTGATGTTGACTCTGTGGAATGTGGGGAAAGCTTCAGGCAGCTTCTCACAGAAGTCAGTCCTGTAGCCCCCCTGCTACCAAAAGCTTTCAATGCAAATCCAATGCAGAGGGCTATTGTTAAGAAGTGGCCTCATGACATCACATAGATCTCTACCCATACAGACAGACAAACACCTGATGCTTTGCCTCTCTGAATCAAGCAGATGAGTTCACAAGGTCACGTACTGTGAAATTAAGCTGTAATAGTTAAATCTGTAAATTAAGAGGAAGTTTTTACATTAAGCCATAGGTATAATTAACCCTAGAATGCTTAATGAGTAAATGCAGTATATCACTCTTGCTTCAAATTTTATTTGGGTATTTCTCAAAAGATTTTATATATTTAAACCTCAAAATGTGGATTAGGTGACGGCACCTCTATGAGGAAAAAAATGCAATTTATGTTACAGATTATTTAGAGCTGATGATCACAGTGGCCCCTTCTGGCCTTAGCCTAACCGCACTCTTATTTCTGTAATTAATAGTATGAGAGTTATTCAGATAAGAAGAAAAACATGCCAAACCTGAGCTATTATTCAGTCAGTAAGTGACCATCTGACTGTGTATAAAAAATGACTCCACAAGTGGGCTACATCCTGAAAAGATCTTATGATGATTAAGAAATCAAATTGAAATCTCTGGTATATGGACTGCCAGCGGTAGAGGAAGAAGGCAAATAATGCTGTATGCTCTTCTCATTTTGCTTAATTACTTTTTGCCATAATTGCTCCAAGTGTAATCACTCTGCATTACTTCTGCATAGCAATTATTGTTTTCATGGGAACTGTGAGCTGATGATTGCCAGCCCATTTGAAACACCTGCACTTCACTCCGTAAATTGATATCAAACCTATTTACCAACCTTTTGTGAAACTACTGGAAATCTTTACAAGCTAGAGCCTCTGACAGTAGTGTTTTCAATTTGACTCTGTTTAAATGAAACCTTATAAAGGTTAATTCTGTCTTGAAAACACAAGATCTTCTATGGTCTTTCTGATAGCTTCTGTGATAGATAGACCTGACTAATTACGGGTCCTATGTGAGTTTTAGGAATAACAGTTACAAAATTGCTTCTGTCATGAATTCTGCTCACTTGCAAGAGTTGTACAGTTCTCTGATCATGAAGGGGTGTGCTCCCAACCTGCTGTCAGCAGTTAGGCTTTGCTGAGCATGCTACTTGGTTAGGCCAGCATCTCATCCCACATATAGCTGCTTCCCAGCTGGCCTATCTGCCATGCAAGGCTTCTGATGGAGTTGTAGGTGGGAAGACTGATACGAATGTGGGCTTTGCTGTTTTCAAGACTTCTAGGTTCTCCTTACTGAAGTATCTACACAACAGGTTTTGAGTTGCATTTTGTTTTGTTGTCTCCTACCCTAAGTGCTACAAGAGAAGAGCAAAGAGACTTGTTCATCCTTTATAAGTAAGCCTGACTGGGATCTTGGGCAACAAGAAAACCTCTTCTGTACTTTTGACACTGAAATCTGTGATCATGCCACATGGAATATCTTTGCTTCTTTCTCCTTATCTTCTGCCATTTTGCTACCTTAAGTGAAATTCACCTTGTTCTAATTGTACAAATAAGCTAATCCCACAATTCTGTATCTGTAAAGACAAAATGTATAGCTATAGATTTAAGATTATCCTGATATTATGGCCTGATGAACTAACTGAAAAGTGGTACCTAATTATTAACGTCACAGGAGAAGGGAGGATAGGAAGAGTGGGGGTAAATGTTGAAGACAGTTATGTTTGTGACTGGAATTTTTTAGGGTTCCAACTTTCAACCTCTACCTAGGCAATACTTAACAGTTTATAGGCAATTTGCAGGACAAAGCAGAATGTTCTGGACTTGGGTAATTATTTTTCTTTACATGTATTTATCCCTGCATGTCTATAATAAACCTTGTAGAATCGTATTTCTATTAGGTTGTCCCTTGTTGCTCTACAGTGTTATCCTGAGATGTGTTTTCATCTGTTCTTGCATTAATATGGATGAAGATTTAAATACTTTTTTTTTAACTTTTGTGATGATCTTAAATAAAAGGATTTATTTTTACCTCCAACTTGGCAGACACCTGGCTACAAGGCATAGTTTATAATAAATCACTACTAAATATCCAGGGAAATAACCCAGTAACATTTGAAATTATTCTTGGGGCAAAATGAGACACAGCAAGGATGTTCAAATATGGATTTAATTCTCACTGCAGCATTACAGCCAAAGATGTGTGAAACAGGCTTGGAAAACACTTATACTGTGATATCATCCTGGAAACATTCTTAATGTATAAGTAATGCAGAACTGTACCATGAATAGGACTGAAAATATTGTTCAGATAAAGGGCTCATGGACATTTTGCTCCGGATGAAATAGTTGGTGAATGTTTAGGGTGTTTTCTAATCACAGAAATCTCAATAAATTTTTTGTGTGTGTGTTTTGCTAATTTTGCCACACCCAGAAGCTTTCTATGATGCCACTTGAAATAGAATTTTGTATTTAAATTTTTTATTCAATAGTTTTAATTAATTTATAAAGGCAAGAGTTCGTTCCTCTTTATATAAAATAGCATCGTTATCAATGGTTTAGTTGAGTACAAATGGAAGTAAATGGTCTTTTCTACTTCTAATATGTATCTTACATATTAGAATACATCTTATGTATTTCCCACTCTTAAATATAATATTCAGAGACTTTTCCTACTTTTCATTGTAGAATACTGATTTTCTTGTGATTTTAAATGAAATCACTTTCATCAGTGTAAAAGGACTTGGTAATAAAATGCTGATAAAGAGGAAATTATTATAGTATGAACTATGTTGTGAACATTATTTTGTTTATGAAATTTAACTTACACCTTGTAATTGGAATCCTTTTCTTCTTACGTATGAATGATATTGTTGTGTTTCATTCTGTCTAGCTAAAAAGATGCAGACAAAACATATTATTTGTTTGGTGACTTTGATTTTTTTTAAAGTGTATGCTAATCA